AGAAAAAAAAGGGAAGGAAAAGGGGGGGGGGGAGTAAACTAGGTAAAAGAAGGAATAAGAGAAAAGAAGGAAGGAACGCTACCCCACACCCCTCCATCGCACACCGCACGCCCTCTCGCTCTGCCGCCCCGCCCCGCCAGCAGGCTCTCCAGCCAGCAGAGCTGCTTCTCCCCGACGGCGCCACCCGCACGCAAGAGGGGGAGGCAGCCCAGGGGGAGGGGGAGACCGACTCCGATTCCGACTTTGAGGACGTGCCCCTGCTGCCGGCGCATAGCCTCGCGCGGACTGCCGCCGCCTCCGACACGCCCGCCGCCGCCGCCGAGCGGGCGGTGCGATCGCCGCGTTCGGCTGCGAGGGCTGCCGCAGCGTTGATGGGCGCGAGCGCGGGTGCCGCCGCCGGAGCGAACGACGGGACGGTGCTCAGAGCGCTGCTGCGACGCCCCGCACACCTCCTCTGCTATCACGAGCAATGCGGTGCGGCTCTGTAGGCGCTCTGTGGCGCGCCGCGCCGCGACGGAAGCTTGTGTCGCGTGGCCGTGCCGCCGGGCGGCGTGTGCCCGTTCCACGGCGAGCGGTGCGAGCGCGACGATGACGGCATCCCCTTGCACGACGAGTGGCGGCAAGGAGGGGAGCGGCCACCCGAGGCTCCGGCCGCAGAGGGGCAGGCGGCGCCAGCGCCAGCGCCAGCCCGCGGAGAGGTGTCGCCTCCTCCCCCGCGTGCGAAGCGATCCCGCCCTCGCCGCTCCGCCGCGGCCAGGGGCGGGCTGGAGGAGGTGGAGAGGCCTCGCTCGCATCCGCAGCTCCACGCGAGGCTCGCTCGGAAGCGGCCGGGCGGCGCGGAGCGGCGTGCGGAGGCGGCGCGCGACGCGAATGCCGCCACACGGGCGCGGTTCAATAACTTATGGTGAGATGTGCGTCCTGCGTGTGCTGTGACACTCGTTCTTTTTGTCTGCTTCCTACAATAACATGCACATAAACACGTCGTATAATAGAACGTATAACGTGAAAGGCGTGAGCGGTGTGCTCGTGTTAGATGATAGATCGCAGATCGCACTCTACGCTGGGACGTCGGCGAGTCCCGGCGACGGAGCGGAGAAAAAAGCCTCTGTATTCACGAATATCCGCGACAGACCAATAGAGTGGCTCTCTCTGACTCTCTTGCGTCAGAACTCAACTTGCACTCTGGCCACTGCTCGATCCTCGCGCGGGGGCGGCCACATCATCTCTTCGTCATGCACTCGACGTCACTGTATGCTCTCCATGCAACCACACTCTTCACACACGCCTCTTTCCTCCGCGAGCCTCCCCACGAGCGCTCCTTCGCCGGAGTCGGAGCCCGAGTACACTGCGGCACCGCGCACCGATCCGCCCCCCCTCCCTCCACATGCCATGCCATGGCTCCTCCTCAGCACGCGGGGCTGAGAGGCCCCCCCAACCGCTGCCCACCAAAGCACATGCACCGCCCCGTCGACACCGCGCCGGCCTCGGAGCGGCGCCCCGGTCAGGGCGCAGCTGCGCCTCAGATCCACGGTGCTGCGCCTCAGATCCACGCCTCAGATTCATGACTCAGATCCATGACGGGTAGATGGAGGCGACGCCCGACGAGGCGCGCGACACCGAGGGAGGCGGAGACTGCTTCTCGCCCGTCGACCTCCGCTGCTGAGACGCGGCGCCGCCAGCCACGGCGCCGCCAGCCACGGCGACGACGCGCTCGTCGCTCGCCGCCATGCGCGCGCGCTCCAGCTTGTGGTACGACGCGAGCCGGTGCCGCTGGCAGCAGTACGGCCGGTCGTTGAGCATGAAGACGGGCCCGTCGATCCGGCAGGAGCACTCGGAGCAGAGCACGCAGCTGGCGCCGTCGGAGAGCGCGCTGGCGGGGGCGGAGCCTCGCCAGACGGCGGCGGCGTCGCAGGGGCCGGCGCTCGAGGGGCGCGGCGGCGCTCGATGCGGGAGCGGCGCCTGCGGAGAGAGGGGCGGCGCGTGAGCAAAGGGGCGGCGCGAGAGCAGTGGCCGGCGGCGCGGGAGGCGGCGCGCCGTGAGAGACGGCGGCGGCGGCTCGGAGAGGGCGGTGCCCGCCGCCTTTGCGGTGTTGGACGTCTCTTCGTTGGCCCTGCCCCCGCAGCCCTCGTCCCCGCCCGGTGCAGTCTGCGCCGTGTCTGCGGCCGGCGGCTCGGCCCGCGTCGGCTCTCTGGGCGGCGCCGGGCTCGTCTCGGCGTCGTGGAGAGAGGAGGTAGCGGTGGCGCTCTCGAAGGCCTCGACCAGCCGCGCATTCGCGCCGCCGGCCTTGCGCGTCCCGCCCAGCCCTCCGCTCGAGGAGGAGGAGGAGGAGCCTCCGCCCGGGCTGCCGGAGCCGCTCTCAATTCTCGACGCGTGCCGGCTCGTGGCGGCGAGGGAGAGGTCAGAGCCGCCAGGCCTGGGGCCGAGGCCGAGGCCACCGAGCGAGGCGCTGCGCTGCAGCTCGTCGCTCGCCTTGCCGGACTTGTCGATCCACTTGGTGAGCAGCGAGCGCAGTTTGCCCTGCGAGGACGTCTTTTTGAGCACGATGCCGAGCAGAAGGCTCTGCCAAAAGTTCTGCTGGGTGGTGCCGCCGTGCGAGACGACGTGCAGGTCCGCGTGCAGGTCCGTCAGCGACCCCGTCGAGTTGCCGCCGCGGCCCATGGGGGGGGCGCCGCGATAAGTGCCTGGCAGGTGGCGGGTGGCACGAGATGTCGAGCGGAGCCGTGGCGCGGCCGGTGTGTAGGCGGGGCGAGGGATGGGCGGAGGTTGCAAGGCTGATGTGGCGCAAGCGGAGGAGTGGTGAGCGCGGTGTGTGCCGTGAGCGCCGCGGGAACGAGGGCGACCTTGGCGAAGACAGACTTCCACCCCTTTGGTCTCGTCAACCCCAAAGCCAAAGGGGCCGACAAGCTTCGTTTCAAATCGAAGGTTTGAAGCCGGTCCGCGCTTCCTTCTGCTTCTCTCTCTCTCTCTCTCTCTCTCTCTCTTCTCTCTCTCTCTCTCTCTCTCTCTCTCTCTCTCTCTCTCTCTCTCTCTCTCTCTCTCTCTCTCTCTCTCTCTCTCTCTCGGTTATAAAAAAACGGACAACTCTACTGTGCGATGGGTAACAAGGAACAGGTCCCACCGTCTCGTCAAAAAGGTTCGAGCGTTTTGATCTCGCCGTCGTTTTTTTCACAAAATTCAAAATAGAACTCTCGAGAGAGGGTCGTCGTAAATAACAAACCTCGAGTAACAAACACCGCTGGCGCACACTGGCACTAACACAGGTACACCACGGGAGCCGCCTAAGCGACTCCTGCGAGGACAGAAACCAGAGCCCCGAGAGCGCGGCTGTCGGTCAACCCCGCGGCGCGTGGGCGCCGCGGAAGCTGCTCGAACATTCAACTCAGTCAACCCGTCTGGTGCGCAGTGCCGAGGGCGACTCTGTACTCCAAGAGATTCTCCGGTCTACTGACAGGAGGAGGAGCTCCACGAGCCGCAGCGCCGGCGGTTTCAATCACGCCTGTCACTCTACGCAAGCGGCGCAAAGTCGCCCTCGAACTCCTCGAGGTCGCGCTGGCGCGCCGCGCCATCCGGGCCGTAAGAGCCGAGCCTGGTCTGGGCCCGCTCTAGCCAGCCGTAGAGGAGGGGGCGGCAGCGCTTGTAGGCCAGAGCCCCAGCCACAGCCTCGTACCAGCGCTGCAGGTCGCGCATGCTTGCGGGCGAGAGGCGGAGGACGGTGGTGGCGGTGAAGGCGCCGAAGCCGATGGTGGCGGTGGTTGGCACGGTGACGCGGTTGAGGGCGGGGCAGCCCCAGAAGGCGCAGCTGCCGATGGAGGTGAGGCTGACAGGGAAGGCGACGGAGACGAGCGAGGAGCAGCCGGCGAAGGCGCTGTGGCCGACGGAGGTGAGGGTGGCAGGAAGTTCGATGGAGGTGAGGGCGGAGCAGCCGGCGAAGGCAGCGTTGTTGATGGAGGTGAGGCTGGCGGGGAGGTCGACGGAGACGAGCGAGGTGCAGAACTCGAAGGCGTGGCTGCCGATGGAGGTAAGGCCGGCGGGGAGGGCGACCGAGACGAGAGAGGTGCGGCCCTTGAACGCGTCGTCCGGCAGGTGCGTCATGCCTTCGGGCAGCACCGCGTGCCCGTCGGCGACGACGAACTGCCAGCCGCCCACCTCCAAAGTGTCGGAGCCGGGCGGCGGCGCGGCGTCGCTCGGCGGCGCGGCGTCGCTCGGCGGCGGCGCTAAAGGCGTCGAGGCGGGCACCATCGTGGAAAAAGAAAACGTGGGCGCTTTGCAGCTTGGGAGGGAGTCACTCGTTTCACAGTGGCTTGGGCTCGGTCTCTTCTCTCTTCTCTTCGGTAATACTAAGTGTCATATGACATATCCCAATCCTTGCAATGGCCGGATTACCCGCGCGTGTGCTGGCCGCATGTGCGCGCGCGCAGACCGGGAGGACGCGCCCACCCCACGCGGGCGCGCCGCGGCGGTCCGCCTCACCAGATCGGGTTGGAGCGCTGCAGCTCGTTTGCGTACTGCCCAAACAGCACCTGGCTCGCAGGCACGCCCTCGAGCTTGCCCGGCGGCGCGCCCCAGGTGAAGGCGCGCTCCTCGGGCGGCGGCGGCATCTGGCGCCACTCCGGCACGGCTCGCGGTGCGATCGAGGTGTCGTGGTGCAGCCGGCAGAGGTGCCGGCGAGCGACGCGGAAGAGCTCCTCGGACCCCTCCCAGCGAACCACCCAGAGCGCGCCGGCGCCTCCCTCGCTCGCGCAGTCCACGTGACCCAGCACCATCACAGAAGCACCGTTGAGGCGAGAGCACGACGGCAGCGTCAGGTCCTGCGGCGCGCGGGGCGGTCGCTCCGTCACGCGGGCGCCACAGGGCGGCGGGCGCTGCAGTCGGCGGCCTGCAGTCGGCAGCGGTCGCCCGGGTGGAGGGCGACGTCGGACATGCTCGCCGCCCTTCTCGCGGATTCGCTCTGCACAATCGCCGGCGATCCGCCGGTCGCCCGACTGGCCGATGCTGGAACCGAGGCCAGATCGACAAGAAGAAAACTCGCCGGCTGAGCGTTGTCAGAGCGGTGTTCCCAGGGTGTTCCAGTGCCCCTCATTTTCTTTTTAATTAAAAGAATCGGTCGACCGCTATGTACGCGATGCGAGGGCCCTACGGCCGTCCGGTGAAGCATAAACGCGGCACCGTTTCGCCCGCAGTGCTCTCGATCGGTCGCGATGGACACGCCCGATCTACCACCGACGAGTGCGTGCGTGGACCCCGGCTCGGCATCTTCCTCAGGCCTGCGGACGACAGAGGGGCCTGAGATCACGGTGGGCGTGCACGGAGGCGAGGCGGCAGCGCTGGTCCCGGCGGGCATCAAGGAGTACGTGCGCCTGCTGGGCGGCTGCAAGCTCAGATGCTGGATCATGCTCATGTGGCTCATCCTCACCCTCTCCGGCCTCTCCGTCTACTTCCCCCTGACGCTCGTGCTCGACATTGCAATTGAGCCTCCGTTCGGCTCCGCGTCCGAGCGGGCCAAGGATTTGTACGAGGAGCACTATCCGGCGGGGGAGCCGGTCTTTCTTGCCGCCATGCTCTCCACCACCGCGCCGCACAAGCTCTTCAACACCGACGCACGCCCCTATCCGGTGGGGTATCCGCCTTTCCTCGACTACAACCCTGGAGAGGGGGCAGACCTGATCAAGGAGGCGGAGGGCATTTTCGACGACGTCATTGACGTGCTCAAGCCCTACCTGGAGGAGAACGGCGGCCGCTGCCAGTGGAATATCTACAACTTCTTCAGCTGGGAAGTTCTGGTGCCGCCGTGTGTGTGTGCCTTGGGTCGGCGAGGCACACGAGGGGCGGTGCGCGGTGAAACCGTCGGGCGCCTCGCTGTAGGTGGAGGGCTTTGCTGTCATGATGGCGCCAATCATCTTCCCGCCCGCCCACGAAGGGCGAGAGGGCATGCTCCCGGTGCACTTGGTCTCGTGCGACGGCCGCCCCATCTACAAGGAGTGCGTCTTCAAGCGCGAGCCGTTCTGCGAGCCGATCGAGCAGGTCCTCAAGGACTTGGAGCACTACCGCGCCGACCGCAGCCCCAGCAACATCAGCATGACCTTCGTCTCGCACCCAAGCCGCTCGACGGGCCCTGCTAGTCTCACCGCATCGCCCAGTCGAGAGCGGTTGGCCGTAGGTACCCCATCATCTACGAGGACATCATCCTCGGGATCGAATTCGCGATGCTGCTCTCGACGGCGGCAACGGTGCCGTCGCTGGTCGTGCTCGCCTACATGCTCCGGAATATGCGGCAGCTGCTGCTCGTCGGAGCAAACATCCTGACCGCCATCGGCTCGTCCCTGCTCATCATCTATCCCCTGTCGCACTTCGTCATGGACGTCTGCGTCGTCGCGCCGACGATTGCGATTGCCGTCGCGCTGGCCATGTCGATCGACTATAGCTTGTTCCTGCTCACCCGCTTCAACGAGGAGCAGAGGAGCGGGTCCCCGGTCCCAGAGGCGCTCAGCATTGCGATCGCGACGCAGGGCCACACCATCGTTGTCTCGGGCGCGACGCTCACGCTCTGCTTCACCTCGATGCTCATGCTGCCCTCCTCGACCATCACCTCGATCGCCGCCGGCGCCGCGATCGCTGCGGGCGTGTCCGTCGTCGACTCGCTGTCGCTCACGCCGTCATTGCTCCTGTCAATGCCGCGCTTCTTCACCGCGGACCGGCGGTTTGGCCTCACCCTCGACGACACTCCGCTCGACTGCAGGCGCCGTCCGGTGGACGGCGACGACGCCGCGCCCGACGTCAGCGCTGCAGAGCACGGGGGGAAGCTGGGCGTTTGGGGGCGGCTCGGCCAGTACTCGCAACGGAGCGCGTTGGTGACCGCGCTTCTCCTCGCCGCCGTGGCCCTCCCCTTTGGCCTCGCGCTCTCGCGGTACACCTACGTGGTGGACATCAAGCCGCTGCTGCAGTCGGACCACCCCGCGACCGACGCCTACATCATGTTCACCGAGATCTACCCGCAGTCGATGTCCACGCCCGTCGAGCTGCTCTTCTTGCCCCCCAACGCGGGCGACATGGACTCGTCGGAGTGGAAGCTGGCGTCGTGCCACATGCTCAAGGACCTGGCGGACAGGGTGACGGAGGTCATGAGGGCGGAGGGCCATGACTACGCGATGTCGGCCAGCGACTTTGTGGGCATGATGATGATCCTGGGCCACTGCGTGGAGGAGGGCGTGTACATCAACGGCATTCCTTTGCTCAACATGATGCCAATCCTCGAGCAGATCGGAGTGTACGACACGGGCTACAGCATCGCCACCAACGCGGATAAGACTGCCACTTATGTCTACGTCATCTGCCAGGTGGACGTGTTTTCGGAAGTGGGCGAGGCGTGGATGCGCGCTCTCCGCGCGGCGTTGCCAGACTCAAACCCCGCCACCTGGGATGGCGTCGATCTGGGCGAGCTGCACCTCTACGGTCCGCTGTCCCCGCTCCCAGGCTGCCCTCTCTAGCGGTATAGCTGGCGGCTCACCACGACAGGGCGAGCGTTCTCAGGCGTGCCTCTCGACCAAATGGACGGCGCCGAGTTCACGACGCAGCGCATGGTGTGGGTGGTCCTCGCAATCACACTCATCATGTGGATGATCCTCGGCGGGTCGTTCGGGTCGCTCCTCATCCCGATGCGCGCGGTGATCTGCATCGGCTGGATGATTGCCGTCACGTTCGGTCCGCTCCCGCCTCCGTGAGCCACAGCACGCACCGGCCGGCTTGAGAGACGAGCTCCCGGCCCGCAGGCGCCGCGGTGGCAGTCTACCAGCTGGGCTTCCTCAGCTTCCTCGGCATCTCGTCGCTGAAGCCGTCGGCCGGCTCGGTGTTCCCGCTCCTGCCACACCCCCTCTGCGGCGGATGGCGGCCCGAGGTGCGCCCTCGGTGACCCTCGATAGGCGATGTTTTGGGTCGCGCTGCCCATCACGGGGCCCATTCTCGTGGGGCTCGGCCTCGACTACGACATCTTCCTTATGGACTCCGTGATGGAGAATTGGCTGTGTGGCAAGCGGCCCAAGGAGGCGGTGGTCGCTTCCCTCGAGCAGGCTGGCGCCGCCCCGCCTCGCCCGCGCGAGAGAGGCGCACGAGACCGCACGCGCCCTCTCCTTGCAGGCGGGCACAATCATCTCGGCGGCTGGCATCGTCATGTTCTTCGCCTTTGGCGCGCTCCTCGTCTCTCCGACGCCGGTTCTCAACCAGGTGGGTTTCATGCTGTGCGTTGGCGTGCTGATTGACTGCTTCGTCACCACCAAAATAACTATCCCCACCTTGATGGCGCTTGTTCCCGGCAACGCCAACTTTTGGCCGCGGGCTCAACGGGAAGAGCCATCGTCGTCGGGAGCCAGAGCGGCCCAGAGTCCTCCAAGGCAAACGCTTCGAAAATCGCTGTCGTGGACCGCACCTCGGTCGGTGAGGTCGGTGAGGTCGGATCCAAACTCGCCGTCGAATGGGGGGAGCGGGACGAGCAAGAGGGAGCGTGAGGTTGGGGGAAGTTCCTGACTCATTCTCTGTCTGGGTGCATGCGAGTGAGATGCGTATTCAACTGCCTGAAACCGACATATCACCACAGGTTTTAGGGGCACTGTGTGCAGTCACAAAGTCAAACAAAGAACCCTGTGCACAAAGATCGTGCAGGCGAGGGGCGCGGGCGGGGATCTGTTCCTTTTTACCCATCTCCTGTAAAGGTGTCCGTTTTATTTATTTATTTACACTGTGAGGAACACCGCACAGACCTAGCTCACAGGTAGGTCCACGCCGGTGTACTCTACGTACTACACGGGACGAGCGGCCGTCAGAAAGATCACAGCAGTACGGTCGTGAACGGTACATCGAGGGCGTCTCAACCCTCATTCATCATATCATCTGTTCATCTCCCCATTTTCTCCGATGCGGCCGAACCGTCCCTCAGATACCGAGGGCCTCGCAACCTGTATACCACCATCGTACGCTACTAGTAAGGGTCGGCCGGGGCCAGCTAGGACCGGCGACCTGCGCTGCGATGCATGGACGAGCGCCTCGTCCCTGCTCGTTGCTGCAGCCGCGGAGTGCGGTCAACTAATTTTCAGCGCCTCTACGGCGCCTTCCGGGTGGACTAGATCTGTCCCGCTTTCGCTTGCTTGAGCTTGCGGGAAATGGAGCGCGACCGCGCCTGCAAGAGGGGGGGGGGTGCGTGAGCGCGTGCCAGGCCGCGTGCGCTCCGGGGGACGCTCGGGCAGGGAGAGCAGACGCTCGAGTCGTCGATCCTGAAGCACCGACGGCACGCTCCCGGCCCCCCTCCCCAAAGGCCCAATGCCCAAGCTCTGGCGTGGCGACGCACCTGCCGCTTCCTTGCCAGCTGGTCGCCCGCGGGGCGGCGTTCGGCCGTCGAAGGGTCGAAGCCCTCGACCGCCGCGAGCACAGCGTCCAGCATGCCCCGGGGAGGTGGGCTCGGACGGCATCGGTGGCTGTCGGAAGGCTGGCTCGACAGCGTCATGACCAGACTGGCGGCGCGGGCGGCGTCATCCAGCAAGACCGCCCTGTCGCCGCCGGCACCTGCCGCATCTACGTGCGGCTGTTTGGCGCCACCGCCGAGGTGGCCCGAGATCACGCGAGATCGCGCGAGAGGGCTTTCGCCGCCCGCCGTGCTGGCTGGAGCGACGCACGCGCCATTCTCCATGTCGCCGGCCAGCGGCGCGTGGCCGGCCGAGAGCGGCAGCGGCATCAGCTGCAGCGGTGGCGCCTGCAGCGGTGGCGCCTGCAGCGACGCCGTCGCGTTGTCGGCCGAGAGCGGCAGTGGCAAGCAGAGCGGCATCATCTGCGGCTGCGGGTCGAGCGACTCCGAAGAGGTGGGGCGCAGCGGCGAGAAGGTCGGCGTGCTCGGCGTGTCGAGCCGGAGCAGCGACGGGGGGCTGTCGGACGGGGGGTGGGAGAGGGACGAGCCCGCCTCGGCGCGTGGCTTTGGTGGTGGCCTCGGACGCCTTGTTGCCTTGTTGGCTTTGGTGGCCTCGGACGCCTTGTAAGGTTTGTAGAGCCACCACAGCGTCCGCCCCCCCGCGGCCATGACGGCCGCTCGGCTGCTCGGCTCCATGCAGAGGTGCCACAGCACCGAAGACGCCTCGCCTAGCGTCTCTGCGCTGGAGTTCGAAAAGAAGAGCTGCATCAGAGGGCCGACGACGCCAGCAGCGACGAGGGACCGCGCGTTGGCGTGGTCCATCGAGAGCTGGCGCAGCGCCTTGACGCTCGCAAGGCGCGACGCCTCGGACGGGCTCGTGCGGAGCAGGGCGATGAGGGGCGGCGCGGCGTTCTCGGCCGCCAGCAGGTCCCGGTTTTCAGAGTGGTCGTACGCCAGCAGATGGAGCGCTGTCGCCGCCACCCGCTTGGTGTGGTCGGGGCTGCTCCTCGTCGAGAGCAGGACGACGAACGCGTGCAAGCCGCCCGTGGCGCTTATCTCGGCCTTGTTGGCGGGGTGCGCCGCCAGCGCAAGCAGTGCCACAGCCGCGATGTGGCGGGTCTGTCCCCCGCCTCGATCCATCAGCTGCACAAGTGGTGCCGTGCCACCCGCCGCCGCGATCCCCAGCGCTCCCACCTCGTCGCGCGCCTCGAGAGCCGCGGCCGTCGCCGCGTCCTCCGCACCAGGCCCTCTTGGCGCGGCGGCGGCGATGTGGAGTTGCAACGTGACTCCTCCAAACAGGTCGCACAGCCACTCATGCACCAGGTGGCGGAGAGTGTGGTCCGGTTTGGGAAGCAGCGAGTACGGCCGCCAATTTGACCGGCTGTACAAGCCGTGCAGACTGAAGGAGCGATCGCCCAGCTTCACCTACGAGGCACAGGGAGTGCGCTTTGGCCAGTGGTTTCGGCTTTGCCGAGCGGTGTTTCGACACCGAGATCGTGTTTATTGCGCGCACCGCATCGTGCATCAGCCTGGCAGACAGCGGACAGACAAATGCGTGGGGAATGTCCTTGCGAGGCAGGCCGTGCTGCGCCCTGGGCACTGATGGCTGCTGCATCATGCACGCATATGCTTGCGGCCGACGGCAGGCCACAATCCTGGGTGAGGGTCGTTGTCGTTCCCCCCCTGGGACAGAAAAGGGTCGTTCTCGGTCCTCACTGGCTTGCCGGGGTCATGGGCCCCCCCCCTCTAGCGCCGCCGGAGGCGGCGTAGCTTCCGAGAAGCTCGGTCAGACACACGGGGGAGAGACGGACACCACATCATTACGAATGACGCAAAAATACGTCACGGAGAGCGTGTAGAATGGCTAATTTCGCCGAGAGCGCGCCGCGGGCGCACCTGGTATACGGCCCCGGAATGAGTCACTGATTAAAGTTGGGCGCCTTTGGTCGAGGCTTCCCCGGTCCTCACTGGCTTGCCGGGGTCATGGGCCCCCCCCCTCTAGCGCCGCCGGAGGCGGCGTAGCTTCCGAGAAGCTCGGTCAGACACACGGGGGAGAGACGGACACCACATCATTACGAATGACGCAAAAATACGTCACGGAGAGCGTGTAGAATGGCTAATTTCGCCGAGAGCGCGCCGCGGGCGCACCTGGTATACGGCCCCGGAATGAGTCACTGATTAAAGTTGGGCGCCTTTGGTCGAGGCTTCCCCGGTCCTCACTGGCTTGCCGGGGTCATGGGCCCCCCCCCTCTAGCGCCGCCGGAGGCGGCGTAGCTTCCGAGAAGCTCGGTCAGACACACGGGGGAGAGACGGACACCACATCATTACGAATGACGCAAAAATACGTCACGGAGAGCGTGTAGAATGGCTAATTTCGCCGAGAGCGCGCCGCGGGCGCACCTGGTATACGGCCTCGCAAAAATACGTCACGGAGAGCGTGTAGAATGGCTAATTTCGCCGAGAGCGCGCCGCGGGCGCACCTGGTATACGGCCCCGGAATGAGTCACTGATTAAAGTTGGGCGCCTTTGGTCGAGGCTTCCCCGGTCCTCACTGGCTTGCCGGGGTCATGGGCCCCCCCCCTCTAGCGCCGCCGGAGGCGGCGTAGCTTCCGAGAAGCTCGGTCAGACACACGGGGGAGAGACGGACACCACATCATTACGAATGACGCAAAAATACGTCACGGAGAGCGTGTAGAATGGCTAATTTCGCCGAGAGCGCGCCGCGGGCGCACCTGGTATACGGCCTCGCAAAAATACGTCACGGAGAGCGTGTAGAATGGCTAATTTCGCCGAGAGCGCGCCGGGCGGTGCAGGTCCGGAGGCGTCGACGACCGGCCCGAGAAAATCTGCTCGACCTTCTGCAGGTAGAGCAGCTGGGCCGTGTCATACACGTCCCTCTCACTGGTCGGGTGGCGCTGCCTCGCCTCGGTCATCGACTCGGCCATGAGCTGGAGCTCGAGCTCGAGCCGCGGCACGATCGGTCTGCTGTTGGCGATCGTGGGCCGCGGAGACTTGTGCGCCGCGTTCCAGCGTCCAACTGGTGCTGATGCGGCGGCGGCGCCTAGCACAACAGCCGACCCACCTCCTCCCCCCCGCCCAGCCGCCGCCGCCGAGCGCCGTGGCGACGTGGCCAGCGCCGCCAAGTCCTCCTCATCGCCGCTCAGCGGCGCGTCACCAGCAAACGAGAGCGCGCCAAACTGCGGCGGGATCACCTCCACCATGTCGGCCGGGAGCAGAGGTAGAGAAGAATCACCTCCCGGCCCGATCACCACTGCAGTAGCCATGGGCTCCGCCTCCGCCGCCTCCCCCTCCTCCTCCTCCGCCGCCGCCGCCTCTGCCGCCTGCCCCTCCGTCTGGCTGGCACGCCGTCGCTTCAAAATTCTTCTTCTGTTCGCGCCGAGGGAGCAAGTTGTTGAGCTTGCTTTCCGCAATGGCCAAGCGCAAGGCTTCGGCGCCGACGCCGAGGAGCCGGCCGTCTCCCAACATGGGCGTCCTCGCCATGTCGGGCGAGCCTTCCTCCGGCGGCAGCGGCTCGGCGCTTGTGCCCAGGCCCGTCAGCCTGCTTGGCGAGGCGCTGGGCACCCCCGCGCAGCTTCGGCACGCGCGCTCGCTGGGCGGCCGCGCGGCCGCGTCCAGCGCACCGGGGGTGCGGCTCGAGCGGCTTCCGACTGACTGGGGGCTCAAGCGCTCGCTCGTCATCTCGTCGCTGGGATCGCTCGAGTGGTGCGAGACGGCCGGCGGCAGCGTGGTGGACGGAGAGGCGATGCGCGCCGCCTGCCGCGGCGACGCCGCCAGCCTCGCGCCGCCGCCCGATCGCTCCGACGCGACTGGCGAGCCCACACACTTGGAGAAGCGCGCGCTTGCCGTGCGGATGCGGGCGGCGCTGCTCTCGTGGCGGCACCCGGCGCAGCGGCTGCCGCCGATGGTCTCGAAGCAGCTCGCCTCGGCCGACGCGGGCGTCGCCGAGGCCGCCTACGTCCGCTCCCTCCGCGACCAGTGGCAGGCCGCCCTTCGCTCGCTCTACCACGACCTGCGGGAGGGGAGGCGCGCCACCGCTCGCACCCTATCCCCGCTCCGCCCCCCTGACCCCGTTCCGCCGCCACCGCACCCTCCGCGCCGCCCGGCGGCCCGACACCTTCGCACCTCGTCCCGCCCCGGCCTGCCACGCCCGCCCGGCTCCAGACTGCCGTACTTTTACGCGCTGCACGACGCGTGGTCGCTGCTCTGGCGCAACGGCGCCCTCTCGCCCGACGAGCAGCCCGCCTCGTCGCCGCTCGAGGAGCGCGCGCCCGGCTGCGGAAGACACTCTCTCCCTGGACCCCGACCCCTCACCATGACCCCTCAGCCCCGGGTCCCGTTGCTCTCGCCCTCAGCCGCCGGTGCTCGATTCTCCAGGAGCGAGCGTCGGCGTCGCAGGAGGCGGCCTGCGGCGGCGGCGAGGGCGGGCTCCGCGGCAGCTGCGGCGAGGGCGCGCGGGACCACTCCCGTGCCCCGCGGCGCCTTGGGGGCGGCCTGACACCCCTCCCTCCCCTGCCTCGGCCAGGGTCAGTGTGGGAGTACCTGCTCCGCGGCGGGAGCGGCGGCTGCTACGCCGTGCTCGCCATCACTCC